GAAAGAAAGAAAGAAAGAAAGAAAGAAAGAAAGAAAGAAAGAAAGAAAGAAAGAAAGAAAGAAAGAGAACATAAATTCTAAGTCCAAAGGTTTTGTTTCCAATGGAGTCACTAAGCTTCATTCTTCCAAAAACACTGATAATTGTTAATCCGGGGAGTAAAAGAAAAGCAAAACAAAACATCCACAACACACTCAATTCTGTACCATTATCCTGTCTCTGAAAATAATGACAAAGATCATGGGCATGAGCCTAGAACCCTCCCTCCACCTGTCTCCTTATTGAGACAGCCTCGTACCATTCTTTTTGTGGGGAGAGCCGAGGAGAGAAGCATCTCTAAAAAAGTAAAAGCGATTATACCCAGAGTAAGTAAGACTCAAAAGTCTAGATTTTACTCCATGCACAATAGGATACTCAGATTTGCAATTCCTCCTCATGTTCTGTGCCTGCCCAAGTGTGGGGTAATTCAGTTATATCCACTGCTTTCGTCAGTACACAGTTACATAATTTTATTTAAATATAGCATGAGAAACCAGGCTGCCCATCACAAAATTCACATAGCAAAAACATACCTTTATAACTGTTAGAAGGAACAAAGGCTACGATTCTCCAAAGGTTAAAAGAGAATTTATCATTGTCAAGAGACCACTTAAACCAGAACTAAAAAAACTCTTTACTCATGTGAATTACAAGAAATGATTAAAAGCCACTATATGCTAGGCTCTGTGCCAGGGGCTACAATATAAATGAACCTTGGTGCCTACTCACAAGATGTTTACAATCAATTAGGGGAAATAAAGAGTAAATACATTTTAAGTTGTACAATGTTCTAGGATTTAAATTGTGTGTCCACAGTGCAAAGAGAGTGGATAGAGTCATCCAGATAGAGGGTCAGGAAATCTTCTTCAGACAGAAGATGGCCTTTGCCATGAGGGCCATCCAACAGGCAGATGGTGTGGGACAGGCACTCAGGCAGAAGCAAGAATGGGGGCAAAGACACAGTGGCAGAGATTTGGCTGGCTAGCTGTTGCCTACCATCATTTATATAAACAAAGGCTATTGTGGCAGTGGGGGGATGGAAAGAGGGAAAGGGGACTTGGCAGCAAGAGATAAAACCACAGAGATAGGCTGTGGACCAGGTGTGGTCCCTGAAGCACTCTGAACTCTGTTCAGAAAGATCATCCTGGCAACTCGCGTAGAAGATGGGTCTGAAGGTTCCAGACATTAGCAAGCAGGCCATTAAGATTATATTGTGACAGTATAGAGGAATGAATTGGAGGGAATAAGAATGCTTAAGAAGTTGGAATAGAGTGTGATGTCTACATGGGTCTGAGCTTACCCACCCAGATCTCACTGCCCACTGCATAAGTCCTCCTAGACAGACGTCCCACATGCATGTAAGAGTCTGGATGGTCCAAATGCCTGCCCCTCACAGACCTGCACTATCTAATGATACCACTGTCTACCTCTCACTCAAGCCAGGAACCTCCCACTTCCTTAGAGAAGATCAAGTTGATTTTAGTTCCAAAGTAACTCATTCAAACTGCTCCACTCCATTGCCACTTCCACTTCTCTAGTTCAAGATACCTTCATTTCTCTATAATTTCTCACATTCTATTTTTGCCTGTAGTCTTGATTCTCACATTGGTTTTCTACTGGGACAGTGCTTTGTCTAAACTTAATTCTTATCTTTATTTAAAACACTTCAGAAATTCTTCACTGCCTTTAAGTCCAACAGAGCTCTTCATATGGCTTAAGACATCCCTACTGAACTAGCACATTTACCTCACAAGCCACGCCCCATTTGCCAGTCCCTGCCTTGGCCATCCTATACTATGTGGTTCCCTGAACAAAGCACGCACCTTATACCTTTGATCTCATGGTTCCCTCCACATGAGGGAGTACTCCCCATCTCTTCCCTTCACCTTATTAGTACTATTCAACAGCTCTGAGTCTAGATACCACTTCCTCCAGGAGCTTTCCTGAAATGACCCCCACATCTGTGTTAGTGACCTCCCTCTGTGTTCCAAGCATGATCCTCCTCAATCAAGACACATGCCAAGTGACTTGAAAACTGCCTGGTATTTGTCTGTTTATCCTCCCCCCCCAACCACCCCTACTTTCCATCTCTAGACAGTGAACTCCTCAATGTCAGCACCGATGTTCAACTCGTTTTCTTTTAGGAATCCCCACCCTTTAGCTCATGGCTGGGCATTTGATGGTTACTCAGGAAATGTGCAGCCTGAGGGACTGATACAAGCAAAGGTCCACAGACAGAGTCCTGGGGGTCCTGTGCATTTGATGGGCCGGCAATGGGGAAACCTGCCAGAGAGACTAAGAGCAATAGTCAACAATAGAGCCAAGATGGATCACTGGCTGCTGGGTAAGAGAAGACTGGTGGCTGGAGAGTGTCAGGTGTCAAGGGCAAGGTCAATGAGATGAAGGATGAGGAGATTGCTCTGCATTTGGCAAGACAGCTTCCAGAAAGCCATGGAGAGAAGTCTTAGTGCAGGATGCTGAAAAGTGAGTGGCAGGTAAGTTAAACACAGGGCAAAAAAACAATTCAGGAACATATGGCTAGAAAGTGGGTGAGGGACCATGATACCTGGGAGTGACAAGGGCAAAGAGGGAATATTTGTGCATACGTGTGTGTGCGTGTGTGTGTGTGTGTGTGTGTGTGTGTGTGTATTACAATGTTTTAAAATTTCAATTATAAATCTGACTGGCAAAGAGAGTGAATAGTGAGGCTATATTCAGGTACAGAATAAGCATTTATCAGATGAAAGATATAAATAATAAAGGAAAAACTGAATTCATCGAGAAGATACACATCCTCAAAAAAGCAGGTTTTTATCAAAATGTAAACTGAAAAGATTGAGACCATCCTTATAATTCAGAAAAGACCACTGAGCTCATGAATCAAAATTTAATTAGCTGTCCAGATCACCTTTTTCACTACCTACAGCACTATTGTACTATCATAGAGATATCTCTTTTCTCAGTCACCCTAAAATTTCCTTGCAGAGATCTTCAGACTTTATATATGCTCCACTAACCCCACACATTCACATAAATAGCCTTAGCTTTCTATCTAGTAAATGCCCCAAAGTCAAATGGGACACAGAAAAAATTAGGGAAAGGACACTTTTGAGAAACCAATAGTCACGTGAGATACAGGAAAGTCTAACCAAAGAAGAAAAGTGCATGCGGACCAAAAAGCCAAACTTTTCTTTACAAATAGGTTTTTTCTTTTAAGTCCTTATCAAATACAAAGTTCTGTCAGGCTGCCATGGTATTAATTTCACTTACAATGTTTAAAGAACACATTGAGGAAAACAGGCTTAAAACATTAAATTACTTTTCATGAGACATATGCTTCTTAAGCAATTAACAATACATTCAGCATCAATAAGCTCTAATTTTAGAAACACTCATTCATGAACATTAATCAGTTAATGATAAATTAAATTTCTACTTAGCTTCTACTTTTCATGCTCAACTCTCCAAGGTTATACTACATGGTATCTCAAAAATATTAATTTACTTACTACAAAAGCAGATTACATTCTTAGAAACCATCTGTGCAACAAATACACTCAGATATAAGTCAAATCAAAGTTTTATGGAAAAACAATTTTCTTATGTGGGACTGTACCTGACCGAGCACCTGATCCCAAACCTTTCAGAGAAATGACCATAAAATCCTCTATATAAACAGATTACAAATAGTATTTTAGAATAGGTCAAAGCTTCCCAAACTGCATATATATAGAACAATACGCAAATTTAAAATATATTGCCTACAGAGAACTCAGTGATCTGGCATGGCCTTATTCAAGGAGGTCACTGCTGGATGGTACAGTTTTTCACCGTGCAGACTGTCCCATGGTTATAGATTTTAACCCAGTAGCACTTCACTAGGCATGGTGACAATCGAAGAAACATGCCCACACATTTCCAAATGCTATCTAGGGGAATAAACACTGTCCCAACTAAGAACTGTCGTCTCTCTGGTTTACAGAGGAAACCTGAGCCCAGACCAAAGGAACTGCCCAATTGACATCACTAGATATTGATAGTGCCAGGTCTCTAGGGAGCCAGTGCCACAGAGAATCCAAGAGAGAATGTGAGATGAATGAACATGCTCTTACCATATTTTAAGTTCAGCCTTACTCTTCCTGCTTTAGGTGACTTGTTCATCAACTACTTTCTAAGCTTACATCTAGTCATCATTTTAACCATGCAACAATTCCCCTGCCTCATTTATTTATATCCTTCCCTGATCTTAATCTTAGATCTACTTCATCCCAACTGAGTCTGAGTTCTTCTCCCTGAGGACAGCGGAGAGGTGTCAGTACAAATCCAGGACTCCAACCGAGCAGCCCTGATAGATAAGCCTTCTCCACCACTGCCACATTAGGCTCCCATTCATTAAAACTCGGCCTCCTACATGCGAGCACTGCCCAGTCAGCAGGCATCATCTTCCATTTCACAGAGAAAATAGAGTCCCCCACATCCTTCTCCTCGACCCACAAATTAATCTACCTTTGTGACTTGAATTTGACTAGTGTGATGTGAAATGGGAGAAGGCATTTATCTGCCTTCCCTATCTCCCCCATTTTTCTCTGTGTTTCTGTTTATACTATTGTACCTCTAGCATCAGACTGAACAGCAGTCATGCAGGTTTTTGGTAGGTAGTTCATTTCTATTCCTCGTTATTTAAGAGTTTTTGTCATAATTCAATATTGGACTATATGAAATGTTTTCCAAGTATCTATTGTATTTTTAAGGTCACCACATAGAAAAAAAAATTGAAAGTTAAAATCCCCATTTCAGTCCCCTAATTGATTTCACTTAATTCTGATTTTTTTTTTTTCAGTTTGTTAAGAAAGTCAAAAAATACAGGGGTCACTTATCTAAAGGTAATCCCTCCATATCTGTGAGTTTGAAATTAACATTGACTAGGAAACACACAATATGTGAAAAGGGCCTTTATGCTTACCCGGATGTAGGCATCTTGGTGGTGCTTGGCAAAGTACAGCATGTTGTCCAGAGCCAACATCCCAGGTGGAGTCTGTGTGAAGTCCATGGCAGGGTTGACATGATTCTGTGAGTAAAACAAAATGCATGATATGGTGAATTCTTCAGCAGATTTTATCAACCACCAGAGATCCGATTTCTCTCTTCAAAAGTGAAGTACTACAAGGCAAGCTCCAAACAATCAAACATGATGACATTTTCTCTCTCCATGTAAACCTATTGAGGTGGATTGCAGGGACTTCTTTCTAGAGCTCCTCAGAACAGCAAAACCAGATTTTATACCTGGGATTAGGAAACTCAGCTGAAGATCCAAATATAGGACATTGTGAGGAAAAGAAAATGATGCAAAAAATATTTCTGGTGGCTGCATTAAAATGAAACCAACAGCATTTGGGTAGAAAGAGCTGGGATAAAACCACACCTCTGGTATTTAATTGGGAAGCTGACTGCAAGGAAACCATGACCTACCCACACCTTGACTCTGCATCCTCATGTGGGAGGTTAAATACAGCCATATGCACTGATGGGCTTTGTGAACTGTCCAGGATTACATAATCCACAGACCTCTGAGCACAGATACCGGATAAAGTTCAGATATTCACAGGGTTCTGGCATCCACCTCCTCTCAGGAAGTCTGAGAATCTTCTTGTCTGGTCTTTAGGGTTGCCACACACAGCACACAGAACCCCAAAGGTGAAATAATAGTTACAGATATCCAGAACTCAAACACCTCAGCAATATGAAAAACAATCCAATTTAAAAGTGGGGAAAGGACATGAATAGATATTTTTCAAAAGAAGACATACAAATGGCAAGAAGCACATGGAAGAATGCTCAACATCAGTAATCACTGGAGAAATGCAAATTAAAACTACGATGAGATATTATCTCACACCAGTTAGAATGGTTATTAGTAAAAAGACAAAGAATAACAGATGGCAAGAAAGGGGAAAAAAAAGAGAATGCTTATACACTGTTGGAGGGAATGTAAATTAGTACAACCTCTATGGAAAACACTATGGAAATTTCTCAAGAACTAAAAATAGAACTACCATTCAATCCAGCAATTCCATTACTAGGTATCTACCCAAAGGAAAATAAATCATTATACCAAAAAGTCATCTGCACTCTTACGTTTATTGCAGTACTATTTAAAATAGCAAAGATATAGAATCTACCTATGTGTCCACCAATGGATGACTGGATAAAGAAAATGTTATACATATACATAATGGAATATTATTCAGTCATAAAAAGAATAAAATCATGTCTTTTGTAGCAACATGGATGGAACTGAAAGCCATTATTTTCAGTGAAATAACTCAGAAACAGAAAGTCAAATGCCACATATTTTCACATCAAAGTGGGAGCTAAATAATGTGCACACATGGGCATAGAGTGTGGAATGAGAGACAATGTAGACTCAGAAGGCTGGGAGGTGGTGGATGACGAGAAATTGCTTAATGGGCACAATGCACTAAGTAGGTGACGGATACACTAAAAGCCCTGACCTCACTACCATGCAGTATATCCATATAACAAAATTACACTTGTACCCCATAAATCTGCCCAAAGAAAAACTATTTACAAATATGACTAAGAGGAGAAGGCCTGGCTGATCTGAACTCTCTATATACTTGAGATCACCCAGCAAAAACACTACAAGACTCTTACTGATATTAGCAATCTACTCTTCACCATTAATCACTGAAAACAATGACCAAGAACTATCCTGAAAATTCAGATCTGTCAATTTTTCCAAGACGGCAGATAGGAGGCAGGACTAGTTGTAGCTCCTGCTTGAAAGGATACAGCAGCATGTGGAGACTTACGTCATGAACTTCTGCTCCAAGAACTACCACAGGAACATACCAGGATATCCGAGATAATCCACACACCCTTTGAAGGAACTATTTCACCACTGCAGACTGCCTGGGATGCAACCAGCACGCTAAGCAAAAGCACAACCAAGGACCCTCACAGAGTCCACTTCACACCCCCACTAACTCCCACCAAAGCAGGTGCTGGTATCCGTGGCTGCAAGACCTGAGACAGATCACATCACAGGACTCTTTGCAGGCACTCGTCAGTGCCAGCATGGAGCTGGATAGTTCTGTTGAGTGGCTAGACCCAGAAGAGCAAAAACAATCACTACAGTTTGGCCCTTAGGAAGCCACATTCCTAGGAGAAGGAGGAGAATACCACATCAAGGGAGCACCCCGTTAGACAAAAGAATCTGAACAGCAGCCCTCGAGTCCCAGATTTTTCCTCTGACGTAGTCTACCCAAATGAGAGGGAACCAGAAAAACAATTCTGGTAATATGACAAAACAAGGTTATTTAACACCCCAAAAGATCATACCAGCTCACCAGAAATAGATACACATGCCTAAGAGGAGAAGGCCTGGCTGATCTTAACTCTCCATATACTTGAGATCACCCAGCGAAATTCACCAACCAAGTTTCTCTGCCTTCAAGAGACTCACCTAACACATAAGGACTCACGTAAATTTAAGGTAAAGGGGGTAGAAAAAGATATTCCATGCAAATGGACACCAAAAGCAAATAGGAGCAGCTATTCTATGAGACAAAACAAACTTTAAATAAAATAAATTCAAGATAAAATATCTGAATTGCCAGAATAAGAATTCAGAAGGTAGATTATTCTTCTATCAGACAAAACAAACTTTAAATAAAATAAATTCAAAATCAAATATCTGAATTCCCAGAATAAGAATTCGGGAGGTAGGTTATTAAGTTACTGAAGAGAAAGGTGAAGTCCAATTAAAAAAAGTAAAAGACAGTACATAGGATATGAAAGAAAAATTCTTCAGTGAAATGGGTAGCATAAATAAAAAACAATCACAACTTCTGACAACCAAGGACACACTTAGAGAAATGCAAAATTCACTGGAAAGTAACAGCAATAGAATTGAACGAGCAGAAGAAAGAACCTCAATGCTCAAAGACAAGGTTTTTGAATTAACCCAATCTGTCTAAGACAAAGTAAAAAGAATTTAAAAAATGAACAAAGCCTCCTAGAAGTATGGGACTATGTTAAACATCCAAACATAAGAATAATTGGTGTTTCTAAGGAAAAAGAGAAATCTAAAAGTTTGGGAAACACATTTGAGGGAGTAATTGAGGAAAATTTCCCTAGCCTAGCTAGAAATCTAGAAATCCAAATATAAGAAACTCAAAGAACACCTGGGAAATTAATCACAAAACATCATAGCCTAGGCACATGGTCAACAGATTAGTCTAAAGTCAAGACAAAAGAAAATCTAAAGAGCTGTGAGGCAAAAGCATCAGGTAACCTATAAAGGAAAACCTATCAGATTAACAGCAGATTTCTCACCAGAAAACCTACAATCTAGAAGGGATTGTGGTCCTATTTTTAGCCTCCTTCAACAAACCAATTATCAGCAAAGAATTTAATATCCAGTAAAACTAAGCTTCATAAGTGAAGGAAAGATACAGTCTTTTCCAAACAAACAAATGCTGAGAGGATTCACCACTACCAAATCAGCACAACAAGTACTGCTAAAAGGAGCTCTAAATATTGAAATAAATTCTCAAAAAACACCAAAATAGAACCTTCTTAAAGCAGGAATCTCTCAGGACCTTACACCATAAATCTTACAATGCATACATATTGTATATATAACAATAACACAATGAAGAAAAACAAAATATTCAGGCAACAGTAATACAATGAATAGAATAGTACATCACATTTCAATACTAACATTGAATGTAAATGGCCTCAATGCTTCACTTAAAAGATACAGAATGGCAGAATGGATAAGAATTCACCAACCAAGTTTCTGCTACCTTCAAGAGACTCACCTAACACAGAAGGACTCATATAAATTTAAGGTAAAGGGGTAGAAAAAGATATTCCATGCAAATGAACACCAAAAGCAAATAGGAGTAGCTATTCTTCTATCAGAGAAAACAAACTTTAAATCAATAGCTGTTAAAAAAGACAAAGAGGGACATTATATAATGGTAAAAGGACTAGTCTACCAGGAAAATATCACAATACTAAATATATATGCAACTAACACTGGATCTCCCAAATTTATAAAACGATTACTGCTAGACCTAAGAAATGAGATAGACAGCAACACAATAATAGTGGGGGACTATAATACTCCACTGACAGCACCAGAAAGGTCATCAAGACAGAAGTCAACAAAGAAACAATGGACTTACACTATACCCTACAACAAATAGACTTAACAGATATTTACAGAACATTTTACCCAACAACTGCAGAATATACATTCTATTCATCAGCACATGGAACATTCTTTGAGAAAGATCATATGATAGGCCACAAATAGGCAACAAAACAAATCTCACTAAATTTAAGAAAACTGAAAGCATATCAAGTACTCTTTCTGAATAAAGTGGAACAAAATTGGAAATCAACTCCAACAGGAACCCACAAAACCATACTAATACATGGAAATTAAATTACCTGCCCCTGAATGATCACTGGGTCAACAATGAAGTCAAGATGGAAATGAAAATATTATTTGAACTGAATGATAATAGTGGCATAACCTGTCAAAATCTCTGGGATACAGCAAAAATGGTGCTAAAAGGAAAGTTCTTAGGATACAATGCCTACATCAAAAGTCTGAAAGAGCACAAATAGACAATCTAAGTTCACAGTTCATGGAGCTGGAGAAATGAGAACAATCTAAATCCAAACCCAGCGGAAGAAAAGAAATAATGAAGATCAGAGCAGAACTAAATGAAATTGGAACAAACGATAACAAAAAACAAATAAATAAATAAAAAAGATAAACGAAACAAAAAGCTGGTTTTTTGAAAAGAATTCAAATAATTCATTGAAAAGCTGGTTCTTTGAAAAGTATTACAGGCTACTATAAACACCTTTATGCATATAAACTAGAAAACCTAGAAGAGATGGATAAATTCCTGGAAGTTGGTAACACTTCTAGATTAAATCAGGAAGATAAACAATCTCTGAACAGACCAATAACAGGCAACGACATTGAAATGGTAATAAAGAAAATTTCCAACAAGAAAAAGG